ATGTCAAACCTTATGTCCTACGTGGTGTCAATTTTGGCTATGAGGAGAGGTAACATTCCTTTCCCTAAAGATCTATTACGTAACAGAGGATCTTATTCTAAATTTCCTCAAGGTGTCAAACACGGTCCTTTCACGGGCCAGATTCCAGCAGGCCGACTCATTTTGCCACCGATAAGCCCCCATTTGTTTCTCATTTTTGGAAGAATGAGAATGAAAAATATAGCTATTACGGGTCCCATACAAGAGATAGAAATTCAAATTTGGTGGCTTGATGTGATAGATAATGGCCATATTTTTCATTTTAATGAGAAAAAAATAGGAACCGAATAGAGCTTATTTCCATTGTCAGGGGCTGTGATCGTGCAGTTTGAGACATTTTCCTGCACAACCAATGCAAATGATATGTGTCAGTGTGTCATTTTGTTATTGGCATTTGAGGGGACCGATTTACACTTCTGTAGTGGAGTCAAAAACACAAGTCGCCATCACAAATTCATGGGCTCTTTTTTTTTTTTTTTTTAAAGTGAATTATTATCAAATTTAGTAATAGACAAAATCAGGGTTAATCCATGGGATAACTCAACAATGAGAAAATTTAACAATAAAAATCTGGTGATTGACAAGCCGACGTCCTGTTTCCGTTGACACACATGCTGGCGATCATATATGTAGTGAAATCACTTCTTGCAGTGTTCAGTTTTATCTTTAACAAGATACATTTTGTATGTTTTAATGGATATGACCAGACTACGACTTGTTTTTTCCCCCTCTTCTTCAATATTATCCACTGATATTGGGCCAATTGATTCTACCAAATGGGTTGTGCCACTTTGATAGAAAGTGGTTGACTGAAGAAGAGATGTAATGTTAGTTAACAATATGTGATTGGATGAAAAAGTTGACTGTTCCTAACTACGTATTAAGACACAGAAATGAGGAGGATCATGGAAGAATCCCCTGATGATGTGCTGTGTCTGTTGCAACGATTCGTTATCATGACTTTAATCTTAATATATAATCATTTGACAGCAAGCCAATTGTACATTACCATGTATGAATTGGTGTCTAGAATTCTCCTAGAAAATTATCATATTATCGTCTGTGTTTCAACCTGACTTCAGTCATATTATTGTCTTTTCATATATGTGTGTGTGTGTATATTCCCTGGCCAACTTTAAATTCAAACAAGTCATTAAATTGTGATCAGTAATTGATGATTTGATACCATATGGGGCCAGAAGCTCCTATAACGTGGCTGCGGTTTCTTCTTGTGGTCTATATTTTAATCTTAGATATATAGTTGCAAGCAAGTCATCTATCGCCGACAAATCTTTGATTCGAAATCAATTCAAGAAACAGTTGAAAAATAAGTAACTGTACAACTGGTTTCATCCCACTGAGTGCTGGTGTGAGACATAAACCTCCCTCACTTCAGAGGACACTGCTCCTTTTGGAGATTTTTGAAATGATTAAGGTGTTGGAATTGAAAGCGACCCGACTCGACTTCCATTAACTTAGTTATAAGAAACCATTCCTATGTGGGAAGATACTGAAACCAAGTCTGCCAAAGAAAAGTTAAACGTAACTGCGTACCCATGGATATGTATGTAAAAAGGACAGAAATATATACTATTAATGTTATGTGATTGGGACACTCACTTGAATACAGAAAAGGATGTTGCAGTCACTTCAGCTTAGTGCTTTCTTACGATTGAAAGAATGCCTGATTGGGACACCCATTTCTGTTTTCTCAGTTTCCAAATTTCAATTATATATATATAAGTGGATCAATAAACCAAAGGAGAAACTCTTTCCATTCCACTGGGACTGGCCCTATTTTTTGTTGACTTTGAAGCTGGCAAATTTGAAAAAATTGGCATAAGTTTTGACTACTATGACTACGCGTATAAAAATTGAAGCCTGAGGGGCCATTTATATCATTCTTGATACTGATTTCTTTCCATTTGTGGTCCTCAAGTTATAATATTTACAGTTACCTAGTTTTTTCCACTTCTCCTTTTACATCTAATATCGAGTTTTAAAAATTATTTCTATGGGTAAGTACGAAATCCTGTTAAAAAGTTCTGGAATCATATGATTTGTTTTTAAGGAAATGTTGGTACTAGTTTACCATCTTGTATTTCTACTGCTTGTCAGCAAAGTTTATGTTCTCCAAAGGAAATGTGTTTTATGCTGATTTAATTCTGTCAATATATATTTAAATTTTGGAGGATACATACTGTTGACCTCGAGAATTGGATCCTCCATGTGACCAACGGATAGTCACTCCACCTAATTTTCTCTGCGCACAACAACGCACGGTCAGAAGCACATGGCCGGAACCAGCAGGGACGATGGCGGTCGCATACACTCCGATGATTAAGTCAGAGTTAGATGATCGGAACAGTGCTCGAGTAATGCAAAAGAGTGGGGAGGAGAATATATATTTCTTAGTATGGAAAGCTAAGTTAAGAGTTTCATTACCTTTGTCTCTTGTCAAACTTTGGGTATTTATAGACGTGGAGCACCGTTGGATGTGGAACACGTGTATGCATCTGACGGTGTGAGGTGTCCGCTTATAGGCATCAATCAGCGGCGTCTAGAATGGGCGGACAATTAATTCTTCTGATTCGAATTGACATAAAGTTGATACGTCACATCAACTAGACCTATGAAGACGTCACATCAATTAATCCTTGGAGGCAGAAAGGATCCTGACACAGATATTTTTCTGAAAGTGGCGACGGAGGGATATGTTAAAGGAGCACCTTGGGTTGCCTAACGCTTCGGCGTCAAGGGGGCCACTTCGGCTGATTCAGTGGATCTATCCTGCGCCTCGCAACGAGTCAAGTTGGGGGGTCGTCAGATTACTTTGGAACCACTTCGGATGGACACGTGGCACTTCGGAGTTCCGAAGTGGTTCAGTTAGGGGCGTAATACATACTATCTATAAATTTTATAGGATCCACGGCTTATAAGTATTAAAAAAAAAATTATCCAACAAAATTTCATAATTTTATCGTGATTTTAAATTTTTTTCCTTTTATTAAGATTTTGCTTTCGACTGTTGTTTTAAAATGCCTCGTAAAGTAGATGGATATGTTTCATTATATAAATAAAACAACTTACGTCTTTTGAAAATGAGACTCCATATGAATGCAAAATTGAGTGTTTTGAATTGTGTTCAAATTCTCAATTATTTTAGTAAATTGACGAGTATTTGACGCCTAATTTCTCGTTCTCGTGGGTGGATTCATATTAACTAAAAGTTGTTCATGAATTTTATATTTTTACGCTTCCATACGTGCTATTGTGCATCAAGGATTGATGAAGCTATGCATCTCCCCAGCTTCCCGATGCTTAAGTTTGAACCGAATTAGAAAAAGGATGAGAAAATTATTTTTATTTTTTGAAGGCGAAAATATGAGAAAAATGTGAGAAGTTAAATAGTAAAGTATTGAACGAAAATGAATATAATACTCGTTGGAAAATGACATGTAGAGGCAAACAAATGGAAACTTAAGTAGAATTGTTCCTTTCTTCCTAGAGCCCATTTGATTAGATGAATTTTCAATGCAATTTTCCACCTTTTTGCACGTTTAATTGGCCAAATTTTTTTGTCAATTGATTTTCCACCTTCACCCCACATAACCATGTTTTCCACCTTTTTGAGGAATTGCAATTCCTATGGGTTTGGTGTTATATCCTTTTAATTGACAATTTTCAAAAAAATTAAAGTCAAACGAACACCAAAAAATTCAAAATTTCAACGTTTTCAAGTGGAAAAATGTACCAATCAAACATATTTAATTAACAATTCTCAGTAAAATAAGTTTTAGGCAATTCAATTCCATAGAAACCCAAATTCCATTCTTGAAATCAAATGGACCCTTAATTTATTAACTAGAGTCTAGAGACAATATATAGAGGATTAAGAAAAAAATTGAGTAAAATTTTTTAAGTACTTTAACAGATTCTTTATACTTAACACATAATTTTATTATTTCCAATTTTTTTCCTATATTTTATTTTCATAAGCCTTTCTCTAAATTATTATATTATTTTCCTTAATTGAAATTATAATATTTTAAATGCATTTGATTATAGAGAGTGAGCCATACTCTTTAAAAGAGAGATTCTCTTAGAACATAATTTCAATCATTAACTCTCTAAAATAGATAGCATTTTATTTTATATTTAAAAAGTCTCTTTAAAATACTTTTATGTATATGAGAGAACATCTTAAATTTCGAAAGTAAAGCTTTTAATACTCTAACAATGCTCTCTCTTCTGACTCTTCATTTTACATTTTCAAGTAACATTTATTTTTTTCTCTTCATTCTTTAGTTGACTTATTTTTTCATATGATAATTTTCAATCAATTTAAGAATATTTGAATAATTCAAGTAGTAGAGTATTGATATCTATAGCTTATTAAATGCAATTATTACAAAGTAAGAATAGAGAATGGATTTTTGACTTATATAAATTGGTGAGTCAAACCTCACTCCATATTTCAGAAAGTTAGAATAGAGTCTTAAAACTTATTTTTAATCAGCAACTCTCTAAAATATAGAATATCTTGTGTTTAAAGAATTTTTTGGAGATGCGCTTATTGAATAACCTCGAACAAATCAAAGTGAAATGTATATGTCGTAATAACATGCTCCCTTTACAAAATTCTTAATCAGCCCACAATAACAAAGTACAATTAGAATCATAAACTAGCATAATACGAATCTATTAATCGTCCTTGACGATGATAGTTCAATGCAAGAACACGAAATTAATTCGTATACAAGAATATTGGAAAAGCATGCTGCAAATCTTGGAAGATCCCCACATCATCAATTTCTTAGTACTGTTTAATATGAATTGAAGGTCTGTTTTATCAGCTGGATACGTAAGGAAAATACATAAGACTAGACATAGCTGCTTCCAACCAATCTTCCTCATCATCATATTTAATCTGCACAAACATGTTAATATGTAATAAAATAAGAGTAAATATATTAATTTGAATGTATAGATAAGAAATTTACCTGGATCGAGTCATCATAACATGTATTATTTTCTTCACAATAATTCTCTCTTTTTTTCTCGTTTTCATATTCATCGGGTTCATTGTTCTTCGCAAACCTTCCTCGTACTCGGACGCGCTTGTCGGCTAGGGTTTTCCGACAGGCATACTGCAAAACCACATGAGTGAAGCTTAACATAAAGTGATTTAATAGATACTACACGAACAATTTTATGTAATTAAGTATTTATTTTGACATGTGAATTTAGAGTGAGAACCTTGATAGTTTTATTGAAATTCCTTTGGTTTCTTTTCTTCAAGTATCTTAGTATTCTGTCCTTCCTTTCTTCAATTGAGTATCGCCCAACTTTCATTGAAGTTTCTTCCACATTTGTTGCTGGCTTCCCTTGTATTCCCTATATAAAAAAAAAAAAANAAACATTTAGGTATGCATCTAAAACTTTAAGCAAGTTGCACTGCCTTGTGTCCCCTTTATTTGACAGTTGTTTCATGATTTTTCAATTTTGTTAATCTTTCTGGTGTTTATCTTAGTGCCTAGTGAACAGGGAATCTAGAACCTTTTGGATCAAGCAGTCAAGCACACACTAGTGTTTCTCCCTCACCATTGATGTGAAAGATTCCACTTTCTTTAAGAATTAAAATCGATTTTTCAGTTTAAAATTATTTTTTCAAGGTAATATTTACATATTGGCTAGATTTTTAGCTTTGATATATGACAAATTACTTTATTCTTTCAACTTTTGAAACATCAGCAAATAATTTATTTTCCTATTACTTAGTTGGAACTGGAGTGCCCTCACCACACATAATGATTTGCTTAGTGATTTTTATTTTTTAGATCAAAATTAAATATATAAATTAGTCTTATTTTCAATAGCTCAGAATTTTATGAACACATTCGATATTGTGTCAAAAGCACACGAAAGTCATGCATCCAAGTATAAGCGTCACCTATGTATAAAAATTGTGCATGTAATATATCTTTACTAAAAATAATAAATCATATGTTTGTAAATAAAGCGGTTGTTATAAAATAAAATATAGGGATAATTGTAGCTGAGACTCCAAACCTTTCAACCATTGTAGTCATCACCCCAAACCTTTCAAATCGTAACAGTTGATGCCTCAATAGACAGTTTCCATCCAATCTGTCATTAGTTGACCAAAAAAATTAATTTTGACCACATTTTGTCAATTTTAAAAGGCGAAATAGTAATTTAATATCTTTCCCATAAAATAATTAAAAACTTGAATCGAAAACAAAAACAAAAAAAAAAAAAAAAAAAAAAGGGGAGAAAAAAGAAAAAAAAAAAAAGAAGGGGAGAAAAAAGGAAAAAAGCATCTTCTTCTCCCTAACCTCACCCCCACCCCCATCCCCAAACTAGAAATCTGCCATAAGACAATCTACAAAATCTATACCTACATTATTTAGATTAAACAATCCCTAATTCTAGAAAATGAAAAGCAAATATCAGTGAAAAAGAAAAAAAATGCCAAACCCGCCATGGTTGCAAAAATCAGTTGCTTTATGAGAAGGTCAAAATTAATTTTTTGGGTCAATGAACGACAAATTGGATAAAAAACGTTCATTGGAGCCTCAGCTGTTACGATTTGAAATGTTTGGGATGACGGATGCAACGATTGAAAGATTAGGGGAAAGTTTGTCACTGTTTGAAATGTTTGGGGTCTCAGTTACACTTATCCCTAAAATTTAAGCAAAAAGTTTATCCACTCGTTAACACCTTGACCATCTAGGACCCTCAGAAAAGAATAAAATTTTTACTACGAATTAAAATAATTTGTAAAAAAAAAAAAAAAAAAAAAAAAAATTTTAAAATATTAAGACCTTAAAATGAAATAGATCTCCAACATATTGATTTGATTGAGCATATGACCTTATTGACCATACTTATGTTAATAGATTTAATATATTGGAGAACATTTGTGTCAATCTCAAAGGTCATTCGACTAACATTTGGACCCACTCAACATGTGACCTCTGAATCACTAAAAATTCCACTCCACTGTGCAAGAGGATTTTCAAATAGGACCTTTCCCTAATCTCTAAATCATTGAACATCATCATGCATGAGCCAACTATTGGCCACTTCTGTGTTAAACTGGGAATTATGCCTTAAAAAGCTGATTAAGGTATCTCTTATACTATATTAAATTAGTTCGATAAAAAAAAAAAAAAAGCATTTAAGAGATGAAATTAATTTGGAAGGGTAAACTTTTAGATCATACCAGTACAGAGGGAAGAGAGGCCTTCATGTGCTTACTATTCTTTTATTGTTTAAAGCTGTCTATTCTAAAGTTCCAGGTAGAATATGTCCTATTTAATAGGCCAAGAATCTAAGATATTGGGCTACCACAAATTTGTATTACGGAGTATATATTATAAAGAAACTGTACTTTTTACATTCCCAAAGTAGTAGTAATTGTTATTCCCGATATTAAGTTAGACATCAGAAGCAACACGTAGAAGTTCCACTGACGTCATCGGTTGAGTTAGTCCAAACATATGAAAAGACGAAGCAACAAGGTTACAAAAATTATAAAAGCCGAAGTTCTTGTTCGGACCAAGGTGCCACTCAACCAGATATATGCCGACACCCTAACGAAGGTTTTATGCCGAAGTCCTCATATCTACAACCTACCGAGGTTCTGAAAGACGAGGCTGAAATTCTAAAAGACGAGGAAGTTATGACTTGCCTAGGTTTTGAAAGACTATCGAGGTTCTAAAAGACGAGGCTGAAGTTCTAAGAGTCGAGGAGGCTGCCACATCTGCCGACCTGACGAATATATTTGTGAAAGACTGATTAGACATCTATTTATTTTATGTCAATAATATCAGCCTAGAAATATAGGGCAGTTGACCATTTGTCTATGTAATAAATGTATGTGTAAGAAAGATGTGATGTGTAGAAGAAGGAGGTAGGGTCACGTGGTTCAGGTCCAACGTTCAGCACGTCTTCTCCAGACTCTATATATACTGTCCCCTTAGGAAGGAAAAAGGGGATATATATGTGGAGCAATAGAAATGATACATATATAGAAAGAGAAAAATGGGAGAAAAACTCGGGAAAAAGAAGAAGTAATGGGTATATCAATTTTTAGCACATTTTGGCGCAGAAAATAAATGCTACTCCATACTTTTTAAGCCATTAGATCTCTTATTCGTTTTCTTTCCTTTCTATTCCTCTGCAACTATTCCGAGTATGTCAAAGCGAAATTATATTCGTACATCTTCAAGTTTTTCGATCACTATAGTCGGCGTCCGAACTATTTAGTCGCGCGTCAAAGACGTATCCTCTATGTTCAGTTGCATCGCCTAATTGAACAAGCAATCTTAACACACCGAAATCTGCCCGCGTGGACACGTGTGGACTTGACACTTGTTGGCCATTTTCAGAGGTCAATAGTAGTAATAACAATAATAATAATAATAATAATAATAATAATAATAATAATAACTGTCATCTATTGAAGAAAATTCTATATGTAATTTCATTTTATGAAAAATGATAAATAAACTGTTCATAGAGTACATAAACTAAATTTGGGATTGATCATTTGCTAGATCTTTTGAAGTCTCCTGTTATTTATTTATTTATTTATTATTATTATTATTATTATTATTATTATTATTATTATTATTATTATTATTATTATTATTTTCTCTTCCCGTGGACGAGCACCACGTAAATTTGTTACGTCCATTCTCTTTAAGTGTTTTTCATGCCAAAACAGTGGAGAGTGGAGACCAAGATTTGTTCTATTTCATTTCTTGTTTATTCTCTAAAAATAACTGTTATTTGTTGTGCTTGTTAAATGATTCTTCATTTATGCAATCGAGACAAGTTGAGCTGGATATTTATCTGCTTTTGACTGCATATCAGAGATTAAATAGGAACTTGTAACACAAGTTTCATCTATACCCGGCTGTTTTCCGCACGCAGAAGAATAGAAATGCATAAAGAGAATCCATTCCCAACTGCTTAATTTGCCAAAAAGCTTCTTTTATATCCAATCGAAGAACACTAAAATCCAGGTTTAGATATGGTCTTATCTTATTCAATTAATAGTAGACACAACGTCACGTATTTGGACACTCTCATTTACATCAAGCATGCTAATAATAATAATAATAATAATAATAATAATAGAGCAAAATTTTCACATTTAAGTTGCAAATAATTGGCAGGCAAAATTAGATTATACAGACAAAATTTAAATTAATTACGCCAACGGGTAGAGAAGTTTTGTGTAATTGTTCAAATTATCAGTCAATTCTTTAATTGTTACATTAATGATTACTCGGTCAAAAAAATTAATATTACATCCTATGTAGCACAATTATATGCTAACATGTCATCAAACGACGTTGTCTATTACAAGTAAGCAAGAGTCATTGTTAAAGAAAAACATAGGTTTAACATACAATTTAAGCCAATGAATCTAACTAAAACTAAAATTGCCTCAAGTGTTCTCACATAGGATTATTTTATTTTATTTTTTGATAGAGTGATTACTGGTGTTACGGTTAGAAACTTGAGTTAATACTATTGTAAGAAAATAATATCAGTAACAATTGGCATAATCACTCAAAATTTAAGTGGTCGTTTACGTAATCAAGCCACGAAAATTAAATGTCTCTTTATTTCATAATATCGTCTAGTAATCTATAACATCAAAACATTAAACATGACAAGAAGAAATTTATAGAGACCCCTAACAAAGTTAATATATATCAGTAAATATCCAAGTCACTATATCAAACACATAAAAAGGGACTTTCTTTCCCCAAAATACACAATCCCCATAATGCTTTTGTAAAACATATATTTCTTAACATAGATATTCAAGGAATATGATTCAATAAAGTGTGTGAAACAACAGAAATGTTAAGAATTCTACGTGTATGAATCAAAATCTTTGATCACTTGTCGTACTGATTTTCATGCTGGAACAAGTTGCCAAGAAATTCATCTTCAGCCTAAACTAAAACAGGGAAAGCACTATTCCCTTTTTCTTTTTTCATGTTTTACGAATCCTGAAGTATTCTTTGATGAACATCGTACGAATTATCTTTGTTTTCATAAGAAAACAGGATCCTGTGCTCTGTGGATTTTGTCAAACTTTTCACGTACACATATAATTCTATGCAGTGCCATGAGGAAGGCATTCCAATCCCATTAGTCAAAACAAAATCGACCCCTTCTTTATTTCACATGCTAAAGAGTAAAAGACCAAATTCTATTCTATGAGAAACTTGGATGTCTGTTGATTTGTAGGAAAAGCAAAAACAAATCAAGAAAATTGTGGAAATGTCCAATTTCCACACCCCATTTTGAAAAAGTTAATTATATTCACATCATACTTTTTATTTCTTACACCATATTT